GAGGATTACTGCCACTGAAGCTGCCTCTGCCACTGCTCCTCCTTCTCCTCCTACTAGCTACGACGACTGCTACTACTACTATGCAGACCATCATCTTATGCATATATTTCCATCAGCTGCATGGTCACGTCCGTACCAGTAGAGCAAGCAGAAGAACAAACGTCTTGCAGGAACAGCACAACAGATATGAACGGGTACGACTGCTGTCTCCAGTGACGCAATCTTGAACACTGTGCATCATCATAGCGTGCGATGCGCTGTTGACCGCGGAGGTCGAGACTTGCTGTGTTGGACAAGTACGCACATGTGCTGAACGCGACTGGGCCTGCATTCCAGATTCTAGACCCTACACCTTCAAGACACTTCTGCTGTGTTCTCCTGACTCCTACAGCTATAGCGTAACGCGACTCGAAGCACGAAAAACATCAGCCAGATCATAGAAACTTAAACCTGCAACCAGCGAGGCTCCATGCGAACCCGAAGTCCGAGATCCCACAGTAAACCATGCTGCTGGTATGTGTCAACGTCCAAAGGGTGTCACTCAAGCTCTGATTGTCCTGCGTAGAGGACTGTTCTTAGGACTTGTTGGGGGCTTTGGGCTTCAGTCTCTTCAAGTTTCAGGAACGATTCTGTGCTTTTCGCCTTGTTTGCTGGCCCTTGCGGTTCTCTTCGAGCCACCAAACAGCCCTGCGGTATCGTTTGGGAAACTCAAACCGTGAAGAACAAACACCAGGATTGCCCAACACACGGGCCTAAATAATCGCCTATACTATGGCGGGGGTTCCCGATGTTGATTATAGTACAATGGCCCCCAAAAGCCCGACCCTATAGTCCAGTTATTAAGGCCCCTATATCAAGCGCCGTGCTCAAATAGCCGCAACCCCTGAAAGAAGCGAAGGCCACAAGTCTCCAAGCATCCGACATACGAAGCGGAGGCTTAAAGAAGCTCACATACAGTCTCTGCTCCAAGGTGCCTACATAATTGTATATACTATGATGATATGCTATGCCACCATATACTATAGCATACCACAATATACTGTAGTATACGACGAAATACTACAAGACAGTGTGCCACTATATGGTACAGGTAATAATCGTGCGTGTATCTGGGGCTTGTGGAAACTTCCGAACCCCAAACTCCCAAGCCCTTGGAAGTCGCAGGCTGGATCTTACCCCAGCAAAGAGCACTTCAACAGCCCCGAATGTACAAAGAAGGGGGTGTACCAGGGACATGCTGCTTTCAGCCGTGCTCTGCACCGAGCGCCGAAATCGCCATGCAGCCGAGGAGTACAACGACAACGAACTGCAGGGTGCCACGCCCCCGGAGGTTGAAAGAGACGGCCACAACAAGCAGCAGCAATGCTTTCATCGGGGTATTCGGGTGTCTTCAGCCTTGTGATTGTGGTGGCGCCAGGTGCAGATTACAGGGTTGGTTGTTTGATAGATGCTGCGTTATGCTGTGTTGCTGTGTAGTGAGATGACACGTGTGTCTGGGTGTAGGTATAGTTTACGCACCCCCAAGATACAAGCATGTAAGCGTGAAGCGGTATTAATCTGTACACATATGCATGCAACCGCAACCACAATGCACAGCATTCAATCTTCAATCACAGACGCGCATAAGTACATCAATGTTTGAACCATGTACACCTGCATGTCTAGATGTGTATGCACAGACACCCTCATAGAACCTTCAGGCTTCAGGGGCTTCGAGCGATTAGAGGGGTCAACGTGAGCTCTGAAGCTCGATTTCCACACCAAAACACGCCGAGATTCTTCACGGCAGCGCGATTCACCAAGTCCGGAATCGTGATAGGATGGCATTTTGAACAACACACAGCCTCCCCAGCGGACGCAGCCGGCTCGGGAGGGGGTGGGGGAGCAGAACCATGCTCGTTGCTGTCACAGCTTAACTTTGGCTTTGTTTCATTGACAAAACCTACGGGCAGTAAGTGAGTTAGCACTCTGACTAGTGACTAGTTAATACTAGTTATATGTGTTTCTCCGGTACTTTCTTCTTCGGGATTGTGGAGTGTGATGATGAAGGTCACCATCGTAATTGCGAGCGGTGGTTCTTTTGCTGTTCTTGCTACAACTGCGTCGTTGCTATTGCAATGACCGGGTGTTCGTCTGCTTCATTTCCTGCCGTTGTCGGCTGGCGTGCCTGGGGGGCTCAGGGTCGAAGGTTTGGAAGTCGGAACTTATACTAGAGATTGAGCTATATGTAAATATGCAATATGCGTGTACAGATATAGATATAGGTATCGGCATGGGGTTAGTCTCCTGAGTTCTCTGCGTCCGTAGGTGATGTATGCACGGTGTTGGAGCTGTGACGTGTGCATGTTGTTTGAGCATGGTGGTACCACATGCATGGCTGCATAGCGGCTAATGCACCAGGCAAAACCAGGAAAAGCGATCAAATCGGTGTAGGTATACGTATAGGTGAGGACATAGATAGATATAGATATGGATGCAGCAAAATGCGTGTGTAGACATATACGTATACATTGTATATGTATATGTATATGTATATATATATATATATATATATATACATACACATTATATATATATATATATATATATATCTATATATATATATATATATATATATATATATATATATTTGTATGTATCACCAGCACGGTAGATAGTGATTCAGTTCTCCAAGCTGCTTGCCGGCAAAGTTCGATAGACAGCTAAGGTCATTCTCGTGGCAACCCATGCACGGGTGGGCTTGACACCTGTTTGGGGGATCCCGCGTTGCATTTTCTGCTGTCTAGTGTTGCCGAAGGGTTGCTGCCGGATTCGAGATTGCCGATTTAGGCTGTGGGAATGGAGTGTAGGTTGCTTCCCGGCACGCTTGCAGGCGGCGATGTTTTGTGTTGTTTCATGCATGGGCTGCGAGGGGTACAAACTGCAAAGGCCCACAAAGGATGGGGTCCGTGCAATCTTGGAGTCTCGCAGGCATTCTTGCATAGACGGTTTAGCAAGGCCTTGCAGCTTGCGGGCGAAGCACCCTAAGTCGAAAGCCTCGAAAGGAACTCCGAAGCCAAAGCCGCACTACACCACACCCGAACGAGACCCTAACATCCCCCCCCCTTCGACAGCTCAGCCAGGCCGGGGCTTCCAAAGGAACCGTGCGTGCCGAGCTGCTTCGTGGCTCCACGGAGGAGCTGGGGTTCGTCAATGCTCCCTCAGCTTACCTTTGGTTAGTAGGAATGGAGGAATGGGGTACAACTATAACTACTATTACTACCATTCTTCCATTCCCTACTAACCAAAGGTAAGTAAGCTGCCACGGGTTTCTGGTTCAGTTGAGTTTCGGCCCGTGACGTTGCTTCCAGCTGAGCCGACTCCCGCTGAAGCCCAGACCGCAGGATCCCGTCATGGACTGGGTCACCCTCGGCTATCCAAAGCTGGCGCAGGCGATGAAGACCGCGTTGCCAGACTTTGCCGAAACGGGGACTTTGTAGCAGCACTTCTAGGTTTGGGGATGAACTTCTCAGCTTCTCGTAGGTAGGTCCAAGGCCCTGGGCCGTTGAGAGAAGTGCGAGCCGGGTATGCGTAAAGCCAAGCTCCAAACGACTCAGCGAGGATCAACCGCATGGAATGCAGCGTGTCAGCCCACAAGCACTTAAGCACTTCGCTTTACGCCTTCTTATTCAAAGACCGCCGTTGCAAACCACGAGTTTTAGACCTTGGTCCACCTCAACAGTACCTTTGCAGTGGTACTCGTTGAGCAAGTCCAGGGTGAAGCTCTTCGACATTCAGCAGATACCTGAACGATCTTGAAACCTCCCCTGGCATCCGGCGGAGCATGATTTGCACTCAGGGCAGCGGCAAATACTACTTCGAAGTAAACTTGATCGCAGGCGCGGAGACTGCTTCTTCGGGTTTGCAAGCCTGTGTGACGCAGCTTCTGGCTAGCGCGATGCATCTTCGATAACAAGGGTTGCAGTTTTTGGGAAGGTGTTCCAAGGATCAGTGCCAGGAAGATCATATCCGTTTCGGCGGTCTCCGTCGTACTGGTGACGGCGCGTCGTCGTCGTCGTCTCGTTTTCTCGTCGCAGTATCAGCAGCGTCCGTAGTGGTAGTAGTGGCGTGCGACTACTAGACTGCAGGGGCCTTATAATACTTGGAATCGGGTTTTGGGGCCCATTATGCTTTAATTACAATAATGAGGAACGCCAAACTCGTTTAGGTAATCATTTAGGCCCCTATAGTAGACTGTAGGGCTGCAGCAGCCGTGGCAAGATGGTGGGCTCTCAGGGCCCCGGGATTTGCCGGGAATTTGCCACCCAGGCCGACCCCAAGCCCTACCAACTCAGATGCCCCAACAGTTGGAGTTTCGCTCAGCAGACCTGGAAAGATATTGTTTCGTCCCAGGGTGAACCCTACCAAGGTATATTTTTTCTAGAAAAACCTAGTTTTTTCTTGCAAAACCTCTTAGGCGCAGCACCGTCCGACAGCCCGACTGCAGGTGCCGAGGCGCCGCAGGTCGGCCTCCTGAGCGAGGCGACGGGCCCTTTGCCACGTCAAAGCAAGGAAATGGACTACTGCATTCTGCTGACATGTTGCAGCCTGTACATATCCAGGGTGGTGAGTAGTGTTGGTGCTTTGCATCGGACGGCTCGCTTGCAGGAGTTCCAGCAGCGGCCGGGAGCGCCCAGCACCCAGGCACGGATGAGGGCAGTTTGGTCGCGCATCGGCAAAACCCGATTTATTCAGAGAGTGTATAGGATTCTTGCAGGGCGTTGGGGACTGCGAAAATGGCTGGGTGGGGGCCTCAATTATTCGGCCTCATTGCGCACGTGCGGTTTAATCGCAGCCACAGCCGTAACGGCCATGTCTTACCGTGGAGCCCCTACTTGTGGTTGGAACAGATGCAGAGGCAGAGGTGTAGCTTGTGCTTTCGAATCGCCAGCGCCCACTGGAGAGGACTTCTGGCTCCAAAGTGCTTTTCTGCCCTTCAGCGCCTGCTTCGCCCCGCAGCCATGCAGGCCAACTCCCACGTTTTGGAAACCTCCTCGGACGTGGAGGAGCAGCGCTCTGAACTCCTTGGGGCTGGCAGCATGCGCCTGCCAGGCACAGGTATGCCTGGGCGCCTCGCTTTTGGTTTGGGCTTCCTGGGCTTCGCATTGCTGGGGCTGGGCTTCCTCGCCGGCCGCATGACGATGCCACCACCGCCTTCGAGCGAGGCCATCGAATCCGCGGTAATCCAGCGCTTCGACCAGTCACACATAGATGCCGTGGTGAAGCACATCTTCGACGAGCACGATGCGAACGGCGACGGGGTCTTGGGCATGAGCGAAACGAAAGGCCTCCTGAAGCAGGTGTTGAAGGAGTCGGATGATGATCGAACCGACGATGAACTTCATGAGGCCGCCAAGGAGCTTGATCACGATGCCGATGGAGGGGTTCAGAAGACTGAGCTGAAGCAACTCATAAACCACCTCATGAGTGGTTTCAAGCGCTAAGGGACATCACCAGAGCCAATGCTCCCTTAGGCCTTCAAACAGGAGTCAAAAAGAGCGAGTTCCAAATATTCCAGGGCCTAGTCGGGTTCATGCCAGGAGCGTTGAGTCTGGCTCTTTGTAGCTGCGGTTTTCGGACAGGAGATGATGGCGGGATTTCTTTCAAGTCTATACCCCCATTGTCCTCTCAGTCCTAGGTTTATGGCGTCACGAGATGCCTGAAAGCCAGTCGGTTTAGCGAGGACCTGCTAGATCAAGAGCCACAGGTGCTCCTTTGGATGTCTTGGCCCTTAGTCCAGACTCCTGACTTCTCGCCGGAGCACCAAAATCGACTTCGTGCTGTTGCTCTTAGAGAAGCGAGTTTCAGACTCCGACCCGGGTCAGCCTTGGATGCAACAAGCACATTGTCTTCGTATTGCCTGCTGCTCCACTCCCCCAATAATAGGAGTGTCGCATGCTTCCAAGGAGGAGCGGCTTTAAATCTCGCCTGCAACTGACATATTATGACTTTAAATACATAATATATGTATATATATATATATATATATATGAATATGTTGATGTTGAAGACTTGGCTAAGGCTGTTGATGGTCAGAGCGCAATCCGCTGGCATCGAGGCCTCTGCCAACTGGAGATGCCCTGAAAAGCTGAACCCGCTCTAAACCCGGGCCAGCGCGACACCTCGTGTGGGAGCCTCCTCCAAGCCTCGAAGATACTATGCTATACTACACTAGACTACAAAATAACACAATGTAATAATGCATACTAAACACCAGGTTAGCATAATGTAACGATGCAATGATATGCAATATAATCTAACAATATAGTGTAGTAGACGGCAATATGATTTACAAAACGATGAGCCTCTAAGGCCGCATAGGCTCGAAGGCTCGCAGCCTTGAAGTGACCAGGCGAGGCGCTTCCCTGGGGGCAGACTTGGCCCTCCGTGGAGGCCTCTGCAGAAACCCTAAACCCCTAAGGCTCTGAGGACTCGTATTTTAAGGCGTTTGGGCTTAAAGACCATATTGTATGAGGCTTTTGGGCCATTTTGAGCCTTAGGGTAAACCCCTAAACCCTTAAGCCTTGTTGCTTGTACTAAGACTACTCCTCTGAAGTCTCACCCAGCTGACTTCGAACCACATGCCTTGCCTGGATTGTCCGAGTGTGAGCGCCGAAACCCTTAACCCTACATCCTAAACCGTGGCGAGGTATCGCAGAGGCTCTTGATTGATGGGTTCGAAAAAGCTGCCTTCGATTCGGTTTAGTTTCATACCAGCATTGATCTTGATAACCAGTTCAGGGAGTGCACAGTCGACGATGGTAATGGGCGTATCGCCCCTGCGCCTCGCGTTGAGAATTGAGATTTCACCATCTTGGAACCGGCTTATCCCCAGAAGTCGTTTCATGTTGGTGACTATGACCAAATATCCGAAGCGACACTCCGCACCCCATGTGCCCACTTGGGCAGGGCACACGGCGGCTCAGTGAGGATGCTGGGATCTTATTTTCCTACGAGTTTTGGGGCCTGCAGCGGATTGTAGGGTCAAGTGATAGTCTTGCAGGGAAGGCTGTTTAACGGTGCATGCATCTAGGGGTGAGGCATCGGGGTATGGGGCTCCGGATGTCTTCTGCTCTGCCTCGGCATCTCGTGGCAGAGGAGGGCTTGGGTCCTGGTTTCTACAAGGAAGTAGCAGACGCGGAGAGCTTATCCTTTGCATCTGGGGATGCAAAGGAACGGCATTCAAGCAAGCTCCATCAAATCGACATGTGCTTTGCCTGGGGTTTGGGAATTGCTAAAGGAGCATGTGTCGGTGGTAGCAGATGGCATTCAGACTTTGGCCTCGTGCAAAGATATATCTCAATATCGACCGATCTCTCTCTCTCTCTCTCTCTCTCTCTCTCTCTCTCTCTCTGTCTCTCTCTCTCTCTCTCTCTCTCTCTCTCTCTCTCTCTGTGTATATACATGGAAACTCATGTTGATTGCAAGTACCATCTGCATCGTTTATATGTTTATTTATGTATATATGTATATGTGTGTATAGAGAGTTACATAACTATGTTTACATGCATGCATATATCAGACGAAGGGTTCGTGTGGCCGCTTGTCAAACCCGAAGCTTCCAACGATGCCAGGTGACTGTCTGTGTAGCGGTGGACTTGGACCAGAGACTCTTGGCTACCTGTGGTGCCGGGTTTACGGTTTAAGGCTTTAAGACTCCTAAAGCCTGAACCCTTGTGAGCGCCGAAACCCTAGACCTACAGAGCCTAATATGGCGCCACCAGGCTTCCCCCCGTTGGGATTGTCGCCGAGCACCATACGGCGAGTTGGAAAATAGGCGCTTAAAAAGCCTAAACCTTCTTTTGGCTCGCGAATAAGTTATGACGGGAGCCTGGCTATGACGGCAGGATGAGCAAGAGGGCCTCAGGCTCGCAGAGTGGAATCAAAGGATCTGGGGCCGCCACTGTGCTTGATGCGTCAGTTCGGCTGATTGTCAGAGGCTGGTTATGGGTCCGCGCTGCTATCACCAAGTGTTCAGAGGTGGCGTCTTCCGTTCAGATGTACTTCAGTGTATGTCTTTGACGGGGTGGCTGGAGGTAGGTGACCTTCCGCGTGCGATTTCATGGTTTGACGTCTGGTGAACCATGGCGAAATTTGCAAGGCCGTGCGGTGAGAGTCGAAGCATGCCGCCGTGAGTTCAGGAAAGATGTACTGCACCACGAACGGGCAGTGGGACTCCAAGTGGGCGGAGGTCCCCACCTTCGACCAGGCCAGGGCGATCCCGTGTGTTTGGAATAATAGAACTTCCCGATTTCCGCTACATTCTTGTCACCACTGTTCGACAAGTCGAATCGGTCTCCTTCTTCCGCGAAGTAATCTGCGCGTTAGTGTGTTTGTAAAGCTTAGTTTATTGCCGTTCAGTCTCAAAGCCCCACAACGTCGTGTGCAGTTTTTTTGGCGTATGCCATGACATGGGGTTTGTCCGTTTTGCTTCTCAGGTTTTGGTGTAACTTCGATTCAAGTCTACCCCACCCCTGAGCCTTCGACTAAGGCCTTCTGATTCAGTATCCCGAAACAGGGCCCAGAGAGCTTAAAACCAATCTGGGAGTTTCCCAAAATAAGGGACCCTAATATAGTACCCTAAATAGTAGGATCTTTATTATAAGAACCGCAAAATAAGGGAGCCCTAATTTTCGGAAACTCCCATCTTGGAAGCAACTTCCTGCGACGACGAAGGACCGGCTCCCGGCAGGCGCGCCCCTGATTCGGGCCGCAGTTGCTCTCTTGGGCGTTTCCAGAGTCCGTGGAGGTTTCCAGCCCTTTTTCTTTTTCGTTGCAGACGGTGTCTGGGGTCTGCGGTTCAGGAGTTCGGGCTTTACATCGGAGTTGGGAGCAGGGAAAGGACCTAGATTGACGTAGATGTAGACTATGAGAAGCTCAGGAAATTGTGTCCAAGCTTCCAGCGGTATTGAGGGTTAGGCATTGCCGAATTATGGCTGGTAGTACTTGCAGGTATCGTTATCAGCCCACGTTTTCGAGCCCTCGGTTCTCGGCTCAGGATAGGGAGGGCCTTTGAGCTTCAGGGCGTTTGTTTGGAGTTTTACGGTCGAGCGACCAAGCCCACAGCACCGCTCAGGCGTGAAGGTCTACCCGGCGATGTCGATCAAAGGCGAGACTTCAACTCCGAGCCGGCTGGGATTTGCGATTTTATCTTCAGGGCTTGGGGCGTAGGGATTGAGGGAGGACGGGGTGGGGCGATGCTGGGAGTTCACTGCCAGGAGGTGGTGAGGGGATGTGAGCACTAGGCGTCGGGTGCTCTCTGTTCCCTATGGAGAGGTTTTAAGCCCAAAAGATTTCCAAGAGCAGGGCGAAAGGCAACATGCCTGTGTAGTCAACTGGTCATCGTGGATTTGCCCTGGAACCTGAGCCCCTTTGCCATCAGCAGTTTTTCAAGCCGAAGCCGTGCCGTGGTGGGTTGAGGTCGAGCACGGCCCGAAAATGCTAGTCCTACGTCGGAGCCAGAAATCCTAGATGGAGGGCTTGAGTATCGCCTTCATCCTGTGAATCAAAATGGAACAGCGGAAACCCCGGAACTTCTCTAGGCCCTAAACCCGTAGTCCCAAGCCGCTAAAGCCGCCGGCTCGTCCTAGCAAGGGGAGAGGCAAGAACTCCCAAACCCTGTGGAGTCCGAGTTGCGAGAGAATAAACCCGACAATTTTTACAGCTCAAGTTGGCTCGCAGAGGCATGGTGCAGGGAGGGGTCCGCACAGTCATACTCTGTCAATGTTGCATGATGCATTTTCGAGCCTGAGAGACAGCACTCCATGCAACCGTCGAGAAACTGCCGGAGACTCGGAGGGGCATAGTAGTAGTAGTAGTAGTAGTAGTAGTAGTAGTAGTAGTAGTAGTAGTAGTAGTAGTAGTAGTAGTAGTAGTAGTAGTAGTAGTAGTAGTAGTAGTATTGTTGCTTGTCCGGCTTGTCCGATTCTGGGGCGATGCGGGCCTTACCGCGAGGTGCTTTCCGAAGCACAGACAATGCCGGAAGTCAAGGTCAGTGACATCGACAGTCTGCAACTAGGCATCTGGACAAAGATTGCAGAAGGGGACATCCGCTTGGTGACCTAGAAGGACACACTGGAGCTTTTCTGCGTTTTGGATGCAGCGGTCACAACCTTTGCCAGAAGCATGAGGAGTTTCTTCAACGGTCCCACAGCATGCTCTGCGACAACTTGGGCAAAAGTCCTGGCAAAGAAGGTATGCCAGAAAAGGTCGGCCTTGTGCAGCCACCCCAGGAACCTTCGGCAGCGGTGACAGCGACGGAAGAGCAGCTTCCGGCGGACTTGCTGCTGAAAGGCTTGGAAAACTCATCTCCATGTTCAAGGACATGCAGAATTCCCAAGAGGGCAGCCGTGAAAAGCTCCTCCATTGCTTGGCGCAGGAGCGCCAGCAGGCAGCCACGTGACGGCATCGGATCCAGGGCATCGTGGAGAAGTTCCATTCCCGGGTCCAGCGCTCTCAGCGTGAAGTGTTGCGGCTCGTTCACTTCATGGGTACGGCGGACTTCGGTAGCATTGCACATGTGCCAGACCAGATCGAAAACGATGTGATGCGCTGCTTCGTGGCCAGTGCTGGCGCGAGAGCAGCTGCAGCCGCGCCAGGTGTTGAAGCTGGAGCAGGATGCCGCAGATTCAGGAGACGTTTGCTGAGCTGCTGACCGAGGTTTCCGGCCTCGTGGAATGCCAGTCGCCAGTCTGGAATATTGCCGCAAGCAGTCGCCGCCTCGCCGCAAATACGTAGCAGAGCGGACCAAAGAAGGCTCCTTCGAAGGCGCCGAGTCTGCCAATGATTCTCCCATCCAAGCGAGTGCGCGAGCTCACGTCGCGCTCCGAATGGAGCATGCGAGCGTGATGAGCGTTCCCTGTGGTGTACAACCGATTGTCAGCATGTAGTCCCGACCCAGTCAAACCACGTCGAACACAAGACCACGTCTGACCAAGTCCGAGTTGCGAGAGCTCAACCCTGAAAACTGTCAGCCCCAGAGCCAAAGACCTTCATTCCCTTACCGCTGGTTAGTAGGGAATGGAAGAATGGTAGTAATAGTAACTAGTAGTTAGTAGTTATACTTGTACCCCATTCCTCCATTCCCTACTAACCAACGGTAAGTTCCGTCCCAAGCAGAAGAAGCCCCCGGTGAGGCCGGGCTTCCTTCGACTTTGGCCCGTGACCTTTTGGGTAGCTTTCTTGGGGGCTCTTATACTCATTGTGCTACGGATCCTAGTGCTCAGCGGCTATTTGAGGATTCATCATAAGACATATATATATATATATATATATCATATGCCGCGATGCTGCTGCAGATGCCGCAAAGTATGTAGAACATCGATAGGTTGATATCAACAGAAAGAAGAATTACAACCAAGAGCCATGGGTTTGCATTCATCAGAGCAATGGAAATTATTTGGAGTGATCGCGGAACACTGGTTTTAATTCGACAGCACGTGCAGGATAGTGTGCCGTCAGCATCTGTGGCCCGGAAGGCCCTATCATCAGACCACCGCTTTAATCGCGGTTGCAGGTTTTGTTTCTACCTAAGTGCTATTCGTGTCCATGCTCTAACAATGGTGGTGGAGTTGGTGAGGATGATGATGATGCTGTGGTTGATGATGGCCGTGGCGATTGACAGTGACCCTGGTAAGGATCGTGGCCAGGATGATGAGGGTGATCGTGTTGATGATAAGCATCACAAGCCACAGATACCCGCAGGGCCCTTAAAGCTTGCAGTGGACTGGCAGGTACTGGAAATTCAAGCCGCCGACCCGCAAGGGCCAGCGATCTGGCTTTGACGTGCCTCGTTCCAGAGTACCGGGAAAAAGGGCGTAAGGTTTTTGTTGAGGGTACCGGTTCATGGCTGGGATTTGTCGACAAGGACATTGGGCACTGCAGCTCAGGGTTCGGAAGAGTATGGGCGGCCCTTGCCCGGGTCGGATTGCTTCCCAGGTGTGGAGGCATTCCCTCCCGGGGGTGCACCGTGCGGCTCCCAAGTCTTGGCGGATCGGTATTCAGCGACACGAATATGACTATTGCAGATGCAGATTCAGGTGCCAGTCGCTTTGTCAAGTGGCGGTGTAAGCCTTTGGCTAGTCCCAAGTGGGTTTGTTATGTAATCGCATTCTGCGTATTTATTTGTAACCTGAAGTCGTCAGACTGGTGTGCCGGGGGGGTTCAATGTCAAATCTGTATCCTTCTCGCTTTCTCTCCCTCTCTCTCTCTCTGTCTCTCCCGCTCCCTCTCCCTCCCCCTCTCTATCAGTTGTCTATCTTTCTGTCTGTCTCCCTCTTGTTCTCTCTATCCTCGGAGAATGACTGATCTGGAGGCATAGATGTGCCGCACATTGGAAACTCCGAGACGCCATGAGCTGAGCCTCCCACACCCTTTGTCTTCCCCTCCATGAATGGCGCAGCTTAGCGTCACAAATGCGTGCCTGAGAAGACATAGCTCCGTCCTGGCGGAATTCTACGCCCCAAGCTTGCTCCTGTTTCCTCTCGACCCTTGGCGCGGCCGAATCTCGAGTCTGAAGGCTCAGCATCTACAAGGAGGTCCAGATCCATGGTGAGCTCAGCCGGGGCCACGGGGGCCACACCGCCACTGATGCTCAGAGCCTGTCGGTGCCTACACACCGGCGGTAGAACGTTGACCAACTTCTTCGGAAGGGGCGGTGCATGGCAGCAAAGAGTCGTCGCGACATAAACTCCTTTCAACTAGCAGCGGTCACAGCGTCCTCGCACTTGCTGATGGGTTTGCTGTGGAACAGTTTGCTCTATACGCGAGTTGGCCCAAGCGGGAATCTTGATGCCTGCGCCTCCTTCCCCAGGCTTGAAACGAAATGTTCAGCGATTGGTGGCTGCACGGAAGTGCGCCCGAAGACAGATCGCTCTACATCTGCAACCGCGTTTGTAGTCTGTCGGATTCAGTCACAGCAACTGTGGGGCACTGGGATTTTTCAAGCATGCGCATGCTGGTTGCTTTGCGCGATGCTTCCAGGTACCGGGACATGCACAAGATGCAGCGATCCTTCGGGTCGCCTCGCCCAGTGTCAATGCTCGAAACCCCAAAAGCCAGTTCAGAGCCATGTAGCTCTGAAGTCCAGGGACCTACAAAGCCCGTTACACTCAAGTACTGCGCTGCTGGCCTAAGACTGGAGCAGAAAGCCCCGACATGCTGCAAACTCACGAGGCTCCGTGTCTCCAAAGCCACTGTCTGCAATGGCCCGCGCCCCTAGCACATGCAGGCAATCGTCAGCAGGGCAAGAGCCTTTTCGATGTGCCAATTTTGGCTTCTGTTGAGGGCCGGGGCTGGCTGGCCGGCTAATCCTTGGCTAGATGTTTCTGAATCGTGAGTATCAGGAAGCGTGCCTTAGCCGATGGGAAAGTAGCTCAACATAGAGTTATCGAGTATGTGTCAATCGTATACGAGCCATGCCGAAGCGTAAGTACACAATAGTTGCAGGCAGACCGTGTGCATGTGTATTTTGCAGACTGTTGCAGCATAGGCCGTGCATTCATCAAGCACTAGAGTACATATCCAAGCGCAGATGTCTGAGGTATGCGACAGTATAGCAAAGCATAGCCAGCTCATGATAGACCGCGCCTTAGGCGCCTACAAGCGTGTCGGCGCCCATGATAACATGCGACTTGGCTGTATTTCCTAGAATTGAGCTTTGGATGTTAAGGGGTCTCCAGGCAGTAGTGAGATATAGTTTAGTGCATAGGTGCCTGTACGGTTTGGAATTTGGGGTCTTGGAAGTTTAGGGTTTCCTGCCCAAGCTCCCGCATTCATTGGCTGTCGTAATGCAGATGTAGTGCAGAAACTTTCGTGCTTCTTTTCCACTGCCTCTCCGGCCTGTTTCGATGCTGCTGCTGATGTTGATGACATGACGAGACGCCAAGAGAACCATGTAGATGGCACAATGGTCAGGCCGAAATCAGACGTTGCAGTACCAAACATGCCAATGAAGATGGTCAGCCTGGCTTTTGCCAACAGTGTTGTGTTGAGTTGAATTGCTGAGAGTTTAACATGCAGGTTTTCCTTCCGACCAAAGGGTTGCACAAATCACAATCGAAAGCAACATAAGTCTTTGTATTGCTGATTGTGACTACTCTCACTAGTTTTCGTATTGTTCCTCTTGTTCGTATATTTGTGGAACAGGCCAAGTTGCACCTGTGAGGCCCCTCTACCGCAGTGGAAATGACAGCGTCATCTTCTTCTGCCAGAAAGCGAGCGAGTGGCGGCGCCCTGGCCGAAGGTTAGACAAGCATGCCAAGGTTCACAAGGCAGATCTCATGCATGCCACTTGCCGGACGCAACGCAAGTGAAAAACTAAGCATGTAGTCCGTCCAAGTCTTCACAACTGATACCGAGAGAGGTCGCTGTGTAGTGCCGCCAAGTGAAAAACTAAGCATGTAGTCCGTCCAAGTCTTCACAACTGATACCGAGAGAGGTCGCTGTGTAGTGCCGCTTCAGGTGATAAGAAACACTTGCACACCCTATTTTTCGAACGTCAAGGCCGAAGAATGCATACGCCCAATCCTCCCAACTCCCCAGCCCTCAAGTAATCAACCCAAAGCTCCGAACCCGGATCTCGGGGAGGATCTGTGTTGCAGGGGGTTCTGGGAACGCGTTTGCATGTGCTAGCCAGTACCCCCCCTCCCTCCTGTGAAACGGTTCGAGGGTTTAGGGTCAGGCCGGCTTGCTCTGGCTGTGGTTCAAGGAGCGAGCCTACTTCTTGCGGCTCCTTACGGTATGCAGGTCCCAGACCCTGAAGCCTTGAAAGCCCTGAGGATGGCTCTGAAGGCATCCAAGGAGGAGGCCAGTGGCCGATTTCAGGAGGTTTGGGCTTTAGGATTGCATAAGATGGGTCCTGAGAGACATATGAACCGAATATGCGGTGCGACGTGTCGGATGCAGGACCTTCTGGATCCGGGGGGCTTGCGGAACCGACCATTGTTGGTCATTCGGCATGCTGCACTGTCCAGCGATTGTTCAATAACGTGGACGTAGGAAAGTTCAACTGCTGCTGCTGCTGCTGCTTGCAAGCAAAGATGAGATCCACCGATGATGCGGACTGGACAAACGACTAAATTTAAGTAATCTAAATCCCCTAGAACCTCTCTTGCAGTTAAGGTTCAAGCATTAGAGCCGAGATTAAAACTGCTTTTCAGCCCTCGGCCATGTGCATGGCCTCGAACGGCAGGACCAGTTTAACTGCTTCTACTGCTCGGCGAAGGCCTCGCCGTCAGCTGGATGCCAAGAAGCTTAGGGTCTACAGCACGGGGTTGGGCAAGCTGGTGTCGCAGGGAGTTCCATGCATGAAGCAGAGAAGAAGATAATGAACTGTGGCGAAGCTGCTTGCGTGCATTTTTTTTTCAACTCTGACGTTCTTCACGGTGATGTCCACGGCCGTGATGCTGGCCACATCAACATCATCACCATGGCGGCCTGCAAAATCTTCAACAGTTTCTTCATCTTGCCTGAAGCCTTCACCACCAGAATTATTTGACCATCTTTCATAATGATCACCATGGCCATTGTAGCCGCCACTCAAACCCTAAACCCTCTGTCCGAGTGTGAGCGCCGAAACCCTAAAACAGTACAAGGAGGGAACAAAAAACAGTACAAGGCCATGCAGGAGGCAAAAAACAGTACAATCGACTCCAGAGCTCGCCGAGGTGGCCGAGCCGCCGCGGACGGGTTGGTCGATGCCAGACGAGGCTCGCCTTGGGCCTGGGCTTCGTCTTGGTGCTTTAGTGATGTTCAGTTCAGCGCTTAATATAGGGGCCTTTGTAATTAGATAAGGGGTTCCTTTAATGGTTGCTTCAAAGGGGTCCATAGGGATCGATAATAGGATTCTGTAATAGGGACCTTAATAATTAGATAGGGGGTTTGGGGTCTATAGTACTATAGTTATGCTACGGAACCCCAAAACAGTGCATCCCTTCCGGCGGTGCAAAGTCCTGTCGAGAACGTACCGCTAGCTGCCTAGGCGACAAGCGGTCGAGTCTATCAAAAAATAGTATGCGAAATTTATTGTTTAGGCTCCTATATTACATGCCTATATTACATGCATGAAGCCATCCATGTCACGGGCGGCTGTGCAGTCTGCATAACGACGGCTTTCCCCGGTCGACATCCAGCATGGAGTTGGGAAGGCATCGGTTTTCGAGCTTCCAAGCAGCTTCAGACGAAGCACAAGCTTCCGAGTTCTCCTTACTGTGCTACAGACTCCCCACATGACTTTCGTAGCATAGGCCTGAGAATTTTGTTCGAGTGGCCCTCACTGCTCTACAGGCCCTTTCTGATAGCAAGCGCGGCGATTCTGTCAGGAGCGAGGCATGTTGCCAAAGAAATACTTCGTCAAGGGCCTCGAGAAGATGGGCGCGTCTGCTGAGGCCAAAAAGGGCCTAGAGGAACTTCGGAGGATCACTGCTTCAGCTTGCGCAGTGTCGGGGGCTTCCAGTGCTCTGACCACACTGCAAAGCGTCTTGGGGTCTGGTTATATAAGAAGGGAGGGAAGAAGAAACCCTAACCCCCAGAGAGTGGTGGAAAAGACCGGATTTGAAACAAATCAGAGTGCCATTGACCCGCAGAGCGTCAGGTACTGGGCTGATGTTTCCTTGCAAAACACAGGAGCCTGCCGAAGAAATTGCGACTACTGTTCAGGGTTCCTTAATGTAATATATGCTGTAATGTACTTCAAGGCCCGGAACTAACACTTAAGTTCAGGCCCCGCAGTAGGAAGTGAAGATGAACCGGGTCGAATCGGAAGCAGGAGCCCCAACAGTGTGGTTTAAGACCTCCTGATTGCAGGTCATCGACTCTCTTTGGCAGAAGTTCGAGACGAAGGCATCATCTCTCCTTTGTGCTCGACGAATGCCGCAGATGAAGGCATAGTTCATGTTCTTAACCGGATGTGTCACTGTACAAAAAGTTCTGCTCATGCAGACTCGGACAGTCAAGGGCATGTTGTACTGACACGCTCACTGTGGCAGGATCCAGTGAAGTCGGAGGACTTGCACAGCTCGGGGGTGTTCCTGTGTTCTGTGAGAATTCCGTGGTTCAGGGGCGCATCCCGAATCTGTTTACGCTGTGGTAGGTTTCCTTGTGTGCTGAGTTTGATTGCGCGCATCTGTTTCCCAGTGGGTGTTGATGTAGCCAAGGAAGTCCGTCGCTGTCTGGGCTCGCAGCTATGCCCACGCCAAAGATGCAAGGGCGATTGCACGAGTGCTGCTGCGAAACAAGCGTCCGTCTGAGACATGGGCTCAGCACGCCTCCTCCTCCTGCTGCTGGGAAGCGTTTCTTTTGGGGTCGAGCCCGTTCAGGATTGAGGTTGTAACTGTAGCCAGCCGAGGCCTCACATGTGAAGATTTACAAAGGGCCGGGCAGAGACTGCAAAAAATGCCCGCGGCTGAAAGTCGCTGAGTTTTGGCAAAGGCTGTTCCTCGGCATGCTGGAGCCAGTGGCACGAGGACAAGGAGCTTCTGCCTCTTGGTTGCAGAGGCGATGCAACAGCTGACCTGCATGCACAGGTCCGATCCCATGTACCCCATTGCCGTGCTCCCGCTAATGTCAGAGACCAACCAACCCCAAAACGGCCAAGGCCTGCGCTTCCCAGAATGCTTCGAGCTGCGATGATGCTTGGATAGAACCATGCGTCCCCTTTACCCTCCTTGTGATGGTTGGCAGCTTAGAGTTTCCTCGGCCTGTTCATGCTGGTTTTGCTGCTTCCGGGTTCCAAGACGGAGAACTAAGAGTACGTTCACATGACTAGCAGCGACCGAGGCCTGTCAGGTGAAGGGCAAAGTACGAGATCAACGCCTGGATTTCTTCTTAGCCACTCATAACGGTAACTATCTGCAAGGATCTCGAAGTAAACATGAGCCTTGATCCCATTTTCGCATGCCAGTCTAGAGTTTCAACGTGCGCCTTCTGTGCAGTAGCTGCCGCTCGGTGAATCAAACGCCTGCTTGTAGGCCAAGAGCTGTTGAACTTGTGTTTTCGGTAATGTGGAAAATGACGAACTAGGCGGTGCTTTTCTGGTCATGCAGCGCACTTCCTAGCTAAGTGTGGCATGCCGCAAACCCACAAGCCGAAACCCCAGCGAGGAAGTCGAGTTCCTGCAGAGCCGGCACGAGCGAAAGAGGAAATTGCAGGCCGACGGAGTTGCACGGTCTTTTTTTTTGCCAGGTGCGAGCCTGTGTAAAAGCAGGTGCAGGCTGAGGGCAGGACAAGGCTGAACAAGAAGCGGTGGCAAGAGTGGTTCCTACGGTAGCCGCAGCGGCAACAGCAGCGGTCGTCGTCGCCGTCGCCGTCGCCGTCATCGTTGTTGTTGCCGTCGCCCTTGTCGTTGTCGTCGTCATCGTGGTGGTGGCTGCGGTGGCAGTGGCGGTAGAAGTATCAGAAACACGTGTGTAGAGAGGCGCAGTTCTGCCTCATGTCGAGCTCTTGAGCGCTTCCCCACGACAGGTCACAGCCTGCTCCGATGTCAATCAGGATTGTCGTGCCACCGGCTGCTGTGCCAACGAGGGCTTCACCTGCTACGAAAAGGACGAGTGGCTTGGCTCAGCTGGGCCTGCCCCAACAAAATTAAAGCTCAACTTGCGTTGCATGGGCCCTTCCGGCTGGGGAGCCGTTGCAGGCACTGGGCATCTTGCCGTGAGAGCTGCGCTCCCGGCATCAACCCCGCCGATCCTCCCGAGTACCAAACGCCCTGGAGCTGCCACGTGGTGGTCGTATGCTCGCAGCAGGGTCAGGACTGTCGTGGATCCCGTTGCTGTGCAGACGAAGGATTTTCGTGCTACGAGAAGGACCAGTAACTTGCCTGGCGTTGGGTGATGCTGGGTGTTTGGCATGGGTCTTGAGGGAATGTCTGATGGCTTATATCAAACAGCTGCACGGGAGTTCCCGCGTTGTGTTAGTTCCGAGTCAAGTTGTAGTGCGCTTTTGCTGCACACATTCGCTCGAGGTATTGGGCTTCTTGCCGCGAGAGCTGCAGTCCCGGCATCAATCCGGCTGATCCGCCAGAGCACCAGACCCCATGGAAGTGCAATGTTCTCAGCAGGTGCTCGCAGCAGGGTGAGGACTGTCGCAACACAGGTTGCTGTGAAGACGAGGGCTTTCAGTGCTACGAGAAGGACCAGCGCCTTGGCCGCATAAGCCGGGCCTGCATCTCTTGCCTGAAACTCTGACACTACGGGGCTGGCGTCGTTTCAGGTATTGGGCTTCCTGCCGGCAGAGCTGTCAGCCTGGTATCAATCCCAACGACCCGCCCGAGCATCAGACGCCCTGGACCTGCAATGCTTCTTTGAAGCCTAGTCAGCAACAGCACCCTTGCTGTTGGGCGCAAGTGTTGTGCTTGTTCTTTCGTGTCATTCTTGTCGGAGCTTTCTAGAAATTCTCGGATCCTGACGCAAAGGTCATCGGTGATGGCCCGAGTCCTGGGCCGTCTCCGCCACCCGAAGAGAGGCCGTTTAGTACCGGAACGGTGGGCTCCAGCCTAGCCAGGATGTACGAGATGAGAGACGTCTTGACAAGTCAGCCTGTCTTGGGCTCGGCAGCCCGGGCAGTGCTTTCCTCTGGCGGGGCTGCAGGAGGTGTGGTGAGCGAAGGTCAGGGCTATGGGCTGCTGGTGAGTGGCGCCATCTTAGCGTCCCTGCCGGCGGATCACCCGGACCACAACGCAGTCCTCGACCTTACCTACGAGTACTTCCTGGGCTGGCGCCGAATGTGCGAGCTATCAAACAGCCCAAGCAGCTGTCAAGAAGGCGATCATGTTCGGATGAAGTTTTCATGTGTTTTTGTGTTTGGGGTCACCTAAGGACCTAGCCGATTTGGGTTGCCTTGCCTGAGTCTAGCCAAGACGACATCATGTCGAGGCAACTTCCAGTGTGGCGGAGGGCAGTATCCCTGCCTGCCCCACTGGAAGTTTGCAGTTGACCTGACCACGGTTCTGGAAACCGGGTCGGCCCCGGATGGGGACGCCGACGCGCTGACCGGCATGATCCTGGCCGTACTGGCCACCAGCCTGAACCGAAAGCGACCAATCCCCTCAGACCCTTCAGTTGGTCAGCCCAGCCCGTATCCCTCAGATTCAGCCTCTCTATGCAAGCGGCATTCACAAGGAGTGCTTGATTGAGCACACGGCTTTTTTTCCTAAATCCTGCAAGCCCATCGGGCGAACCAAAGATTCAGATTCTCACAAGCGGCCTTCTGTGATCCAAATTCGATTCTCTGCATTAGTTGCCCGGTGTTACTGTTTATGCTGCTGCCAGTACCACACACGAAAGTTCCCCGTGTTAGTGTGTCCTGCACTGTGCCATTTCCATCATTGCTGTTGCGGTATTCATGGACGGATAAGAGTGGCCGCGAGACCCTGCGGACTGGACACAAGTCTGGGACCAAACCCTGAACCGTGTTGGGAGTCGAAGTCCTAAACACTTCACCCCCCAACCCTAAACCGTAAACTCGCCGAGCCTTGCCTGCATTGTGCGAGTGTGATCGTCGAAACCTTAAACCCCACAGCTCTTGTCTGCAGACCGTGCCTAGCAGTGTCCGAGTGTAAGCGTCAAACCCCCTGTCCCCTCAACAAAGACAAAGCAACCTTAGCCCTAGCTGCCCTAAATCCTAAACCGCCTTAAACCCCTATAGCGACATCAGTTGGGAAGGCCACCCTAGATGAATTGGTAAATGTTGTATTGGAAGATGTGTTATGGTGGCGGTTCAATGACAGTGTCGAGATGTGTCGAGCCTATCAGACCTCGAACCACATGCCTTGCCTGGATTGTCAGAGTGTGAGCGCCGAAACGCCTATAGTCCCTTGTAGAACCCTACTGTAAGCAAGCATTATAGATCCCGTATGTCGTAGTAATCTTATAGATCCCTTATAGTACCCTTATGGTACCCTTATAGACCCCTTATAGTACGGCAGTACCCTTATAGCTGTCTTCACGGCAACCCCGAGGCACTGGATGCGCAGGGCTCCCAGGTTGCATGGCTCGCCGAGGCTCTGGTCTGTTCCAACCGTAAACCCCTACAGGAAACCCTAAAAGCGTAGACGCAGCACCCATGTCTGCAACATGTGTCTGTGTCTGTGCCTGTTTCTGCATCTACATCTTATGCCTATCTCTACTTTACATCTAAATCCACATCTCCATGTCCGGGTCTGGGTCTAGATCTTTATCTATGTATGTCTCTCTCTCTCTCTATCCAACCCGCCCGCACTGCGCATAAGTATATCTACTCTCTCTCTCTATGTTTATGTGCATATATACATATATGTACCTGTATGTGCACATGCACATGTATATGCACATGAAATATGTATGTGTATGTGTACGGGCATCTGTAGAGGAGCGTGTATCTGTATCTGCATGCGCATTTGCAGGAGCATGTCTGCTATCAATGTGTGTATTATCGCTCCTGTACATTGTTGGTTGGTCTTTTCTGCCTGCTTCCCATATCATGATAGCAAGTGCAGCTTGCAGCATTCAGAGGATGGTATCTTGCACACTGATCTGTGTATGTATGCGGCCTGCTTATATAGATATTGCAACGTTTTTGCACATGTTTAGCACGGTACACATATGCAAGCAATCTCTCAGGTATGTTGTTCGTAACTGTGGTATATTGCGTTGTGTGTGTGCGTGTGTGTCCGTGTGTGCATGGTGCCGAAGGAAGGTTATCGGTGAGCCATCTTCTGCTTTGTACCCATGTGTATACTATGTACAAAACGAAGACATCTTCATATCAGAGCGGGTTTGGGGGTTATTCAGTTCAACACGCCGCAAGCCCCTGCTCGAGCGTTTTCCTCGACAGGTGGGCCAGTGGGCCTTCGACACGTGCAGGCAGTTCTACATTAGCTCGACGGTGCTGTCGAGCTCCGGCAGGCATCGCATCGTCAAGCTAGGGGCTTGCTGGGGCGGCTGCTCGTCGTTTCAACACTACCCGAATCCCGAATGGTCTCACCCGCCGAAGAGCCTCGCAACTTTGTAAGACAAGCTCTTCGAAGAAACGAGGTTGGGGAGAAGCTGGTCAGAACCCAAGCTACCACGCCCCGGCTGTTTACCGGCTTTGCCGCGACTACATGAAGAAAGAGGCTGGGCGGTACGGATCCTCCGCCACTGAAGGCGGGGTTGAGACGAAATCAAACTGCCATGCTTTCTGGGTTCGAGTTTTGGACACTTGCGGCAGAACTCATGCAATGAGCTAGAACTCCTTTTCCCAAAGCCAGATCGGCGTGCAAGAACTTGGCAAAGACCTGAGGTGACGACCTGGAGGCAGAATGGAACAAAGTCATCATGACCAGCTACAAAGCCCTCTGGTCGGTCCAGTGCCCCTCTACCGGCCTGGTACCGAACTGGGCCAAAATCTGGGAGGACGCGCCGGGATGAGGGCTTGAGGTGTAGGGGTACTTGGGTCCTTGGGTAGAAGGATCCGCCTGCTTCTGTCGGGCACTTTCCCCAGGTCTTGGGCAAGTTTGGGGTTGGAGTTTTCGAAGGAGGCCGAGCCCCGGAGCAGAAGTTCGCTTCGCGTTGCCGACAAGTCAAAAAGGACTTCGCGCAAGCGAGAGCCGAACCCCCAACATACACCGGCCTCTCATTCCAACATGGAATCATGAACAGCAGAACCCAGTTCATCACAAAGAGCATGTAATCCTCGCCGAGCATTGTCCGAATTGCTGGAGACACGGCGAGGGGCAGGCTCAAAGCCTTCGGTTGACCAACTTGCAAGTTGAAATCTCGACCCCAGCGTCCAAACTGTCTTGGAGTGTGCATGCCTCAAACACTCTCAGACATTCCTCCGAAATAAAGCCTGTTGCAAGGAGGGCGACGTCTTGAAGTCTGCGGGCGGATTCTCTGGCAGCGGAACCCCCGGCCAAGAGTGCCTCCAGAAGCGATATGTGAGGTTCTAGGGATGAGCCCGGGATGGGGGGGGGTTGCATCAGTTGCACACCCGGGGCCTTCAATGCAAGCATTAGTTCCCATTCCCCGGATGCCCCCAAGCTCGAGAAGTTGAATCTGCAAACCGTCCGAAAAGCCTTCTAAAGCCCACCGCCGCGAAATAGATATCAACCCCCAGCCCGAAATCTCAAACGGCAATCGCCAAGCCCCAAGCCATGTCACGAAGGTTCGGGGCAGAAGCTGCTCGTACGATGTGGCGCGTGGCACTGGACCACCTCCTCTTCCCTGATGCTGGTGAAGCCAGGACAAGTGGGCTGTAGTTTCCTTCGGTAGCTGCAACCTACCTGACCCGTGCGAGGGTTGCTTAGAATCAACTGTTCGGGGTCGCAATGATCATGGGCCATGAAGCTAGTCTTCGGCTGCAAGAAGCACTTGCGAATGGACGAAGTGCGGCTGGCGTGAGGCTGCAAATATCTGCAGCAACAACCAGGGTTTGTGACTGTGAGGCAATTTTAGACAACCGAAAACCTGGAGGATGATGGACCTCTCAGGTCTGTATTGCAGTAGGGTAGAGCTAGGGTGGGCAGAGGGGTAAAGCTAGGTAACAAGGGTCTTGTGTTCAGGAGCTTCCTGAATCCCGTGGTGGCGCATCTGGAGACAAAGGAGAGATGGACAGGAAATTGGTGGGACAACTGGATTGATTACCTCAATGTCGACGCTGGGTTGCTTCAGGAATGCTGCTCATCATCTTATATTGTATGGAAAGTAGCGCTTAGCATGATGTGTATACATTCCCACGCAACCAGCCGAAAACTGGAGCGTCCCTCGTGATAGTACGCAGCGCTCCAGCCAAGCGCCAAGGACTACAGCTGCCTCGTCAACCAAGTTTTTGGAGGTTGGTCTTGGAACTGGCCCCTCGGCTTTTGTTGGCCTGTTGATGCCACTCAACGTGAAACTGCAGAGCCGCAAGCCTTGTTCGTGCATGTTCTTGCACCCTTTGAGCATAGCCCATACCTGGCAGGCGAATTGTGGTTTCGTAGTCCTAGCTACAGGAGCCTCGCTAGCCCAGCCACTGGTGTCAAGTCGCAACCAAGATAGCTGTCGTAGACGTCTCGGTATGTCTCCGTATCTCTACGGAGCGAGGGCCGAGGGAGTGGCATCCTTGAGAAGGTGGCAGGAGTTAAGCTTGCAGCGGGTGCCTGTAAGAGTAGAATGGGGGCTTTCGAAGGCAGAGTCTCATGTACTAACCGACCAGATGATCCGGAGCGTCCGAGTCTAGCTCGACTCCCCTCCAAAAGACCCAGACCGAGAAGCCTTTGAATCCTCCAGACAGGTTCATCGCCGGTCCGACATGGAGCTCGCTGGTCTGCCCTGTGGACTCCGTTCAAGCAGGCCGGCAAACTTGCAACCTAGACCTGGACGAGCTGCTTAACACTTCATATCGGTAGTGACGCATTGCAGCACATTCTAGTGCCGCATGGTATGCTATGGATAGTCTATTCTTCTCCGTCTGATGCAGCATGACCTGCAAGCAGGGAGCTTCTCGAATGATCATGCTTTGTATGGCGTGCTATACACTCCAAACCAAAAGCCTTGGCAACATGTTTCCCCCTCTCGGGTACATGACGGGGCGAGGCAGGTCAGCGCATCTTCCCCTGAGGAAGCCCTTCGACACGTAGTATATAAGCGGAAAAGCCTAGAGCTCGTACACTTCCGGAATTGGGAGGACGGCAGCAACAGCTGATCGATGCAGCCGGACAGCGGCTTGTGCACCAGGCGATGTGATTGTCACCCTTGTGGGTGTTCCTGACACTAGGATTAGAGCAGGCGCTCTGCACCTGTGCGGCAAATTGCTTAAACCTGGCCATCCTGCGAGACATGGATATTGAACAAACTGCTTTCAAGTCTTCGGCTGTAGGGTTCGGGGTTCTGAGTTTGGACTTCTGCGGGCACTGACATTACATGCTTAATTGTAGTTTTCGCTGGTTCTTCACAGCCCACGCCAGTTTTCCAGAAGATGGTCATAGTCTGCATTCATTGTATTCATCAGGGCGAGCCGAGTCCTCGTGCTGGTTGAGATGCTCAGTCAGTAGCCTGTATTGTCCCGTCGTACGATTCAGACACCCAGTCTTGGGAAGGGCATCAGCGACTACTACGGTGGAAGTTGGCTCGCAATTTCCACCGTCACTCTGAATGGTGTCGCGGCCGAACAAGCAGCCATGTTGTCGAATGTCCTTGATTGAATCAAGACAAGAACCCGGCCCCTTCGAGTCTCAAGCGACAGCTGTAAGCTGCCTCAAGGTCTCTTTATTGCGGGAGCTGGAGCCCTGAACCCTTCCCAAACTCAGAGCTACTGAGGAGATATTGCCAATGCGGCGAGGCGGATTGGGCTGGTGGACTAACACAAAGAACGGCGTCTGACTAGTTCGAGCGCGCGCGGGGTGCCGAACATGCTGCTGCAGCCAAGGCTAATCCAGAACGATTTCCATCTTCGAGGCAGAGCATCAGTAGCCCAACCAACACAACGTCCAGCTCCCGAAGCACCCTTCCACGCAGTGGCCGTGTTCCCACCGCGACACCTGCCCTGTCAAAATGCATCCTTTCCCATGCCTGCTGTGTAAACCACGACAACATCCGCCATCGAAAAGCCTGCACTCTTTGCGTTCCACAACAGGCTGTTCCCAGCCAGTAAGATGCATTCTCTGTGCAATTTCCTATGTGTAAGGCCCTATTTTGTTAGTGACGAAAAGCGAGAGACATTTTCAGCTTTAGAGAGCGAGAGCCCTGGGCACGGTACTCCATGCGCGCGTGGCCGAGTTGGACGACTGGTGGCCAAAGTGCTGCCGTGAACAGATTCAGTCCATGTGACCAAGTCAAGTGAGGCTGTAGCCAGGTCCTGTAGATGAGACCGCTACCGAAAGGAGGATGCGAAAACGGATATCTGCTGCCTGAGCTGCTGTCGAGCGCCTGTAGTGATGCCTGAACAGTCGGAACGTAGTTCGAAACCATGTAGCATGTCACTCTGGTGCCTTTGGGGCGCCATTTCATCACTGCACGTTCTACTTGTAGGCTGCTAGGCCTTGATTGCTGGCCGTAGTATTTGTAGCAGCCTAGCGCACGGTGTCCTAGTCCGGCTACGGCACCATAGCCGCGGGGCCGTACAGACTCATGCTTCTAGCCAAGCTGGGGGCTGTAACTCGCGCCCAGAATCTTGTCAGCGAGTGGTCTGATGCTGTGATATACTGTGGAAATCTCTCGTTGCAGGAGATGTGCGCATTCCGAAGGAAAGGAGGCTGGACCAGAAGCGGTACTAACTCGCGCTGAATTGGCCTCGGCAGAACAAATCCCCAGACAGCCTGAAACATACACCGAGCCCAAACCTATAGACATACCTGATGCACTCGTACTGAAGGTTCATTCTGAAATTAGGGGCCTGGTTTGTGCTTTTTCGGCACACTGATGTTTCAAGGTCTCAGAACTTCAGAAACCCCGCAATCGCCGCGCGTTCAGCACTTCGCTTCGACGACGAGTGGGCGAGCTTGGAGAGCCCACCCTGCGATGTGAAGGGCCCAGGAAGTTGAATCTGTTTCAGAACACTCCGCAGTATGGGTACTGAAGGCTTGTACCGAAATAGTGTATTGGCTTTAAGTTATAAGTATATGTGTGTACTTATGACTATGCAGTATGCACTTAGAAGTCGACTTATTGTGATATTGATCGTATGTGTTCTCAAGCTGCCCATCTAACTCTCTATACCTACCTATCTGTGTGTGGTTGTGTGTGTGTGAGTGTGAGTGTGTGTGTGTGTGTGAATGAGCTGGCTTTGTGGGCAATAGCTGGCGCACCTGTTACCTTGTGAACAAGGGCGTGCCTTTAAGGCAAGCGGTATTCGTCTTTACGAGTTCGAACTTTACCTCCAGACAGAAGGCGGGCTATATGTAAAGTAACGCCGAGAAGAAGGCTTGCCTGTCCACGGGTGACCAGTCCATTCTAAGCCGAGAAATTAACATGACTCAGTACGGGGTGGTCGAAAGGTCTAATGCAGTCTTTTGTGTTGCGCTGTTGCGTGTCGGGTTGTCCTTTCAGGTGAGCTCAGCAGACACCCAGTAGACGGCCGATCGAACGTATCAACAGCAGTAACTAGCCACACTGCAGAGGGAATGACCTGGCGTGCATTACTCCAGAGACTGTGCCCGTTTGAACCTGGCCTGGCCTTGTGCGAGAGTGAGACTCGAAACCCGAAGTCGAAACCCTCAACCGGCAATAGATCTCAATAGACTCCGAGTTGCGAGAGCCCAAGCCCTCTCTACTACAGACCCCTCTCCCACCTGGCTATGCGGGAGTCAGACAGTGTTAACAAAGTTAAACTATGAAGGCTATGTCATATTACGAGTAGTAGTATTGAGATTATGAATATGCAAGTTACAGTTATGAATATTTATGTTACAAAAATGCAGACATGAGCTCTGAAACCCTAAAAACAAAAACGCGACCAACCCGAGGCCGCCACAGCCTGGAAGGCCGGGGTCGCTGAGCTCCAGGACGCCCTCGCGAGGTTTGTAGCGTTTCAAGGGGTTTATTTGGGGTTCAGGGTTTAGTGTTAAAGTTTAGGGTTTTAGGAATGTAGGGTTTAGTGTTTAGGGTTTAGTTACTTGGAGTGCTTACCCTTCGGAGTGGAGTGATGCGGTGTTGCGGTTTTCGGGCCTCGGCTGAAGAGCAGCGGAAAGAGGGAGTGCTGGCAGTTATCAAGTCCGGCTTCAAAAAGGGTTTAGTGCTTAAGTTTAGGGTTTTAGGAATTTAGGGTTCAGGAACGTAGACGTTCAGGCGATTGCACAAGTCCTGTGAGATGAAGCAGTTCACAAGTGACGTCTGTCATTGTCATAGGGTGTTTTTGATTTGCATGTTTTGGGCCGAGGGCTTATTTTCGGTGTCGGAGACCTGTCGGTGTATCTTATTTTTAGTCAATTCAGGGGTGTGTAGATGGCGAAGATGCAGGGCGGGTCGAAATTGTGTGGTTGTCAGGTGTGCTGTCGTTGGGGCTCGTCACGGGCTCGTCGTCTAGTCATCCTACACTGCTAGAACAGATACTTCGAGTGAAACCATGCGTAAACACCGCCGGATAACAAGGTCCAAGTGCGGGGTTTTGGGCTTAGAAACGGAGCTGGTGCGGAGACTTCCGGGATTTTAGGGAGAGGAGTGTTTCAGATTCTGTTGAGCCTTCTTGGAACCTGACTTTGGCATCTCAAGCCTGAAGGGCTGTGGGAGGATACTTGGGCTTTCGGCCGGGCTTCTCGTCGCCACAGAACGAGTCGGTTCGAGTTTCATCGAAAACCTGGTACTTCCCTGGGCAGGACAGCCTGATGGAAGAGTATGGCATCGCAGGCGCGTTCCTAGCTGTTTTCTTCAAGCTGGAATCCGAAAGGCCTTGAAGGCCACAGTAATTGCTTGCTTGGCAGAGTTTTTTTCATTCCTTTGTGCCCGAAAGCCTGAACGCTCAAGCTGCCAGGATCCCATGTGGTTGAGTCCGAGCACCCGTATGAAGCCAAGGCCACCAACTGGTTCAGGCTTGAGGCTTTGCTTTGGACGGCGGCTTAATTCTGTCGTAGTTCGGACGAATAGCGAGAAGATGGGAAGAAGAGAAGGTCCCTTTCAGGCTGCCAGCAGACTCAATTTTCCCGAGAAATGTCCCAAGACAGCCAGGTTCTCATTGCGGCCGCAGGGGGGGAGAATTAAAGTCATCCGCACCAATCGCTCAGTTAAAGTAAAGAGTGGAACAAGTAACGTACAGGGGCGATTGGAGCGAGCGGCACGAGTGGAAAACGCGTCTAGTGGAATGACAGGCACGATTGGAACGGACGGAGTAGTGGAGTGGCTGGCCCTTAGGTTACAGACCGGCTCTCAACATGCCAAAACCTCGTCCGCGCCACTCGCGCCACTCGCTCCACTCCCGCTCTAATCAGTGGAACAGGTAACGAGTGGAGCGAGTGGAACGGTGGAGCGAGCGGAGCGAGTGGAACGAGTGGAGCGAGCGGAGCGAGTGGAGCGACTGGAACAGACGGATTAGCGACCCCCCGCCGACACTCTTGTTCTTTCGATGCATGTCTCTGTTCAGCCACTGAGAATGACGTCGTCATACAAGAAGTCTGGATAGTCTGGATTCAAAGCATGCTCTTCCGCCAGGGCTTCCGGTGGACCAAAGAAGTCACCATACCGGGGGCGGCGGCACTGGTGGTGCATTTCTACAACAAGAGCTGCACCTTTGAAACTCGACTGAAGGTCTAGTGGTCATGGCGGCGAAAGCTACTTAGCGGGCTTACTGCTAGCACCAGAAGCTTCCATAAGCTGCGAGCGCGGAAGCCCCTGCTTTGTAGACCAAACTCTTTTCAGCCTGCATAGTTTCGCGCGGTTTCGAAAGTTTCGAAAGAAAAGAGTGAAAACTGTGAAAACCTAAGCCCTAAACCCGAAAGTGACCTAAAGTCTAAACCCCCAAAGCTTAAACCCTAAACTCTGGAGCTCCGAGCTGTGAGACAGGCTCAGGCCAGGAAGCCAAACCAACCCCCGAAACCCTACACCCTTCCTTGTAAACCCTCGATCCTAGAACAGGGGCCCTTGAAAACAGAAAGAACTTGACTGTTCAACAGTATTATATTAGATAATATGTAACACGTATAGCATTTAAGATACAGTATTTAATCTAGAATACTCAGTATCTATTACATACACTATATAGTATGGAATACAGTTTATAGTAAGAACCACTAGCGCTCAGGACTCCTCAACCCTAA